GGTGTAGTCCCCGTAGTTCTCCCATCACCATATCACCTGTGAACCATCGCCGTAGTCCCTTGTGATTTCACTAATATATTTTTTTAAAGATTTATTTATTCATGCATACAAGAACCGGGGTACAGGCCAGATGTGCAGGAGGGTGAGAGGATTCACCAGTGACAGAGCAGGGAACAGAACAGGCAGACTGACTGAAATACGCTGAGGGGAGCAGTAGGCGAGACAGGAGAGGTCTGCCGGGACTTATGTGATTCTTGCCGGCCGGCCAGGATCGAACCTGCGCTGCAGAGACTGCGGACAGCTTCACAGCGCTGCGCTCAACTGCCTGCGCTGCCAGGGGAGGCCCAATGTCACTAATATTTTGATGAGGTTTTTGGCATCTGTATTCTTGAAGGATATTGGTGTATAAGTATGTTCTGTCTTCATCTGATTTGAAATCAGAATAGAACATAAAAAATCAATGTTTCTACAAGAGCATTTACAGAATCGATGTTACTTCTTTAATTGTTTGGTAGAATTTACCAGGGAAATTTGCCTAAAAGTCTTCTTTTCATAGGTATATGTTTTTGGTATTGGTCATGCTTGCTGTTCTCTAAGGTTCTTGGATATTTGGCTTGGTGTCTATCATTAATTTTGGGATATTCTTTGCCATTATTTCTTTCTTTCTTTCTTTCTTTTTTTTTAAAGATTTATTTATTTATTTATACAAGCACTGGGTACAGTCAGAAGCGCGGGAGGGTGAGAGAATTCACCAGAGCCAGAGCGGGGAGCAGAGCAGGCAGAAGGACCGAAGTACACTGCTGAGGGGAGCAGCGGGCGGCAGGAGAGGTCTGCGCGCCATGTGGGACCCTCCTCTGGTGGCCGGGGAGCAGCTGGGGATCGAACCGGCGCTGCAGAGGCTGCAGGCAGCTTCGCAGCCTAGCGCTCAACCGCTGCGCCACCGGGAAGACCCTGCCATTATTTCTTGAAATGTTTTTTTCTCCCTCATTATCTTTTTCTCCTCTCTTTCTAGGATTCCAATAACGCATATAGGCTGATATTGTCCAACACTTTTATATATTCTATTCCAGGTTTGTTTTGTTTTTGTTTTTCCTTCACCTTTCATTTTTCCTCTTGTGTTTTAGTAAGAGTAATGTTTATGGACCTATCTTTAAGTTTATTCTCTCTCCTCAGCATTGTAGAATCTACTGATTAGCAATCCAAGGCCATTTAAGCATTTTCCTTCTAGCATCTCTATGTAATTCTAGTTTCCATCTCTGCTGAAATCCTCTTATGATCTTGCATGTTGTCCACCATTTTCATATCACATTAACCATAGTTACTCTAAATTCTGTCAGTTCAAAATCTTTGTCATATCTTAGTCTGGTTCTGATGATAGCTTCACTTTTTTTTTTTTTTTTTTTTTAAGATTTATTTATTTATTTATTTATTTATTTATACAAGAACCAGGGTACAGGCCAGATGCACAGGCAGGTGAGAGGCTTCATTGGAGACAGAGCGGGGAACAGAACAGCAGACTGACAAAGTACACTGATGAGGGGAGCAGCGGGCGAGAAAGGAGGTCTGCCGTGCCATGTGGGACCCTCGCCAGCCGGGCAGTATTGAACCGGCGTTGCCAAGGCTGCAGACAGCTTCACACAGCGTGATGCTCAATCGCCTGCGCCACGCCCAATAGCTTCACTTTTTAAAATGCTTTTTTCCTTGCCTTTTCCCATGCCACTGTATATTTGTTGAAAGCAACATTTTATGTAGGACAATATTTGATGAATAGTTTATATGCCTGAAAATGTCTTTCTCTGCTACTTAGCCCTTAGACCGTTACTGAAATTTTAATTAATCTAATTAAGAATTGTGTTTGTTTTGAATTTTATCATTGCTATGCTTAACTCTAGTGGCTTCATTGGATTGTCAATGCAATGTTTCTTCAGACCCTGAGTTTAGAGTTTCCTTTGTGCTGTGCCTCAGAGTGTTTGTCTTTTTGTACTTTTATTGCCTCCTATTCTTTTCCCAGAGTATTCCATTATTTGAAACCTGATTGGAGGCAAGGAGGAGCTGGTATCTTGGATTAAACTGCACTTTTGGGCATGGTGTCTCTCAGCTGACTTGTCACTCCCCCACTAATTGTAGGTCCAGTGAATAGTCCTGCCTCCTCCCCAGGTGTTAGAGTTTTCTTCCCTATTCTCTGCCCTCAGCTATAATGACCTTTTTTTTAATTAATTAATTAGCTTGTTTGTTTTTGTGGGACCCTCACCGGTGGCCGGGGATTGAACTGGCGCTGCAGAGGCTGCAGGCAGCCTCGCAACCCAGCGCTCAACCACTGCACCACCAGGGGAGGCCCTATAATGACTTTTTAACCGGTGCTTTAAGGGTGGCAATATTTGGGCACTTCTACCTCATCCTTAGCCCCCAGGTATAATACTTTCATTCTATAGTTGAGATTAGAGAAAAGTTCTGATAGTTTCTTGACTCAACTGCTGTATCCCACTGCTGAGCGTACACAGCTGACACTTATTAGGACTCTTTCATCTTTTCTACAAGCACCTGATAGTTTATAAAGAAAACGTCTGCAAAACAAATGCAGACACCCTTAATTTCTGCATTCCCCCTGGACTTTGCACTATCTTGCCAGCTTATATTGTGCCTTCATCAGTTTATCACTCAAGCTAAAAAAAATTGTTCAGTGTCTGTCTGCTACAACTGTCCTATATGAACTAGTTCTGATGGCTTTCTCCTGCAGGTACCTGCACCCTAGTTAGATTTTGGGCCAGTGCTTACTCTACCTCAACTCTCTGGTGGATTTGGAAAAAAGTCATAATTTGGTATTGACCTGGCTGTTTTTTCTCTTTAAGAGTGGAAGCAATATTCATTTTAGCTCTACATTCTCGGAGTGGATGCTGGAAGTACTATGATTTAAAAAAAATAACATACACATTTTGTTGAATTACAAGCATAAATGTAATTTCAGAATCACAATTAAGAAAGTAATGAACCCATTAATTTAAAGTTTTCTGTACAATTGAACTTTTAATTTTTTAATTATATAACTAAGATGGAAAGTTTGAAAAATAGGAAATTCTAAGAGCTATTTTCTTGCTTTTTTTCCTGTTTTTTCATGGTGATATTTTCAGATCTCTTTTTACCTCTGATTCCCACATCAGCCTGTGCTTGGTTTCATAGTCTAGATTGCTTTAAATATTAAAACTGCCTGGGGAGGCTTAAGAGCAGATGGTAACATCAGTTACTCTTAGTTTGGGACAAAAATCAGATGGGCTGCTCTGTTTCTAAAAATCCTCTTCTCTGCTGGCACACTTACGTGTTTTCTTCCTGTTACAGGGAGTCTTTCCATTCCTGCTCTGCAGAGCCTCTGCCCAGCTAGTCTTTCAGGCAGTTAAGTGTCTCCTTATGTGCCTTTGGAAAAGCCTACTCCTAGCCTCTCTACCATTCTGTTTCATTTGACTTGGTGATCCCAGATATCATTCCTGACAGGATTTTGTTTTGGGGGTTTTTTTTTGGTATGATTTTATTTAGAGATTTATTTATGCATACAAGAACTGGGACTGAGACTTTAACCCCTGCACCACCGGGGAGGCTCTCATTCCTGACAGTTTATTGCATTTACTGTTCCCCTTGTCTAAAAGCAGGATCAGAAAAATCAGGTAGAACTTGTGTGTGAGGGCCCCCCCACCACTTGCACCATTGAAGCATCTTATTTGAAGGATTTTTTTGTTCAGTTGGTTTTTTAAAAAGATTTATTTATTTACACAAGAACTGGGGTACAAGTCAGAGGTGCAGGAGGGTGAGAGAATTCACCAGAGAGAGCGGAGAGCAGAACAGGCATATGGACCGAAGACATTGCTGAGGGGAGCAGCGGGTGAGACAGGAGAAGTCTGCCACGCCATGTGGGTTTCTCCCTGGCCGGCCAGGAATTGAACCCGCACTGCAGAGGCCGCGGACAGCTTCACAGCGCAGCGTTCAACCTGCTGCGCCACCTGGGAGGCCCTCATTTGGAGGTTTTATCTGGGGTCTTTAGATAACAACCTGTATATAGTTCAGCATAAGAAGAATGCTAAACCGAGCTGCCTAAGATAAGAGTTATTTCTTACTGATAAACATGTAAACAGTTTCATGTCTCAGAAAAGAACAAACTGTTCAAAATATAAACAAGAAAGGGTCTTCTATGAGATTATGCCTAGACCAAGCACAAGTAGTTTTTCTAAAGCTCAATAGAAGCGTGTTCTTTATAACTGTTAAAGTGATAAAGGTAAAACTTGTAATCAAAAAGGGAAATGATTAAACACCTTATCAATCCAGGCATAGTTTGCTAATATGGATACATTTCTATTAAATTCAAATAATATCACTTTACTTAGTGGTTCTTACATATCTTGCTGCTTCAGAAAGAGATGTTCCTTTTGAACTTAATACTGTACTTTTTCAGGTATAAATAACATTAGAAAAATGCTCATTTCTTGCTTTAGAAACATTCTTCAAATATATGGTTCTTTCCGACCTTTTAATTCTTGAGTTCTATTTAAAATCTTCTTAAATCTTAAGTGCTGAATGAGTGTAGGGAATTAGGAGCTTAAGACTTTTCCCTTTTTTAATTCCGTTTGATACTACTAACGGGAAAAACTAAGTGAAAGGAAAAATCCTTTGGTTGGATGCAATTTTGAAGAATAAAGTAGTTGGGAGATTTGAGGAGTCAACATTTAGCCCTTGGCAGTTCCTGTTCCTTGTCTATTTTAGGATACTAACACACATGCACACACACACAACACTCATTAAACTGTTGGAGAGAACATGTTTGAGACTAAATATTGCTGGGTTTTCAGGGGAGATGAGTAACGTTATGGCAGCAAATTTTCTTTTGAAAGTTCTCCTACTTTCAAGTTTAAGAAACTACCACCTGAATTTTATTTTTATTTCTAGGGAATCTGCCTAAATCTCAGCACTGAACAACTTACCTTTCCTTTGAATAAACAGACAAATGACTAGTGGTTTTTAATTGCTGGGTTTTATTAAGATATTGGCAAAATTTCAACATACTTTTTACCTGAATGAACAGTTTTAATAAATATGAAGGATCACTCATGATTACAACTGAACTCAAAAGTGAGCTGTAGAGCAGGTTTGTAAATTGATAAATTTACTTGGTAAGAAATGATTCACTTCATTTGCTTCATTTCAGAGAGAATTCTTGCAGGGAAATGTCATAACAAGAGAACAAAGCCTGTCTCTCACCAAAGAGCACCTAGAGTACGATGATGTATCTGCGGATTATCTAATACATCAAAGTTTATTAGAGTATTTCCTTTTCCAGAACAACTGCTGTGTCAGTCTGGAATACCCTATCTAATTTCGTATTTTCTAATAAGTACAATAAATAGTCTTCAAAATAGAAGATACAATGCTGCTAGAGGAAATAACAATTATTTTTCAACACAGTGCCATTTGTCTGGAAAATAGTCATGTTATAATACTCATGGTATGTTATTTTGCAAAAAACATTTAAGATAGTCACAGGTCAGGACAGCAGAGTGGGTATTTGCTTTTAACATCACTTGATTTTTAAAAGGTGAAAAAGTATGTTCTCTCTTTTGTTAATTTACCATCCAAAGAAAAATTATCCCAAAATATGGTATAACCAAAACAATACAATCCCCTTTTATAGTCTTGCTTAGGTGAGAATGCTTGTTGAGTAAACAAATTATGTTCAAACATTAAAATCATTAAGATCACTTTCTCACAAAGCCTCGGGAAGCCTTAGGTGGGGAAGGAAGAACTTGAATCACAGCAGTTTTATCTGTAAACACTGAACTTCTTTATGCATCATTTTATCTGCCCATTGGATATTGCACTTTTTTACTGGCACAGTGTTCTAACAATGGAGTGTGGTTGTCATGAAGATGCAGTATCGACACTATACCACTATAAATGTGGTCAGAATCAGACTCAGTGTTGACATTGACATTGTTGACATTGTCCTTAGAAAAGGTGTTGCTTTCAAGGATCCTCCTAGTTAAATTAATGCAACAGTAACTTTAATCTTATTAATTCAAGGACAATGGATGGCACTTCTAGGTAAAGAAAAGGTATATACATATATGTTTCCACCATTCTCTTTATTACAGACCTAAATGAGATTAATAGCCCCAGTGTTTGGTGCTGTGATGTTGCTTAACCTCAGATACCCCTCAAAAGTACACATCCAGAAAGTGAACAAAGGAAACCTTTAAATGAGGGACTCCCTTTGAAACTCACAGTGAATGTACAAGGAGTTTATAATGACTTCAGCTGATGACTTGAAGTCTGTTTCCCTAACCAACACTATACTTTCTTATTTATATTTTTACTACTTCCTAGTCTAACAGAAACAAAACTTGGTTAGCAAGCAAACAAATTGATGCATATCATGTTAAGTTGAAAAGGGATATTGCCACTCTTAAGGATTGAGTGTAGAACTTTCACCACCACTAAATTACACAATGAATATTTAAGTACAAAACACGTAATTCACAGACTATACCTCAGCATTAACAGTTTATATATTATATACTTTTATATCTGCCTAATATTTTTATAATCACCAGATACACCATCATTAAATACAAGTTACAGAAATGTGTAGATACCATTAGTTAGAGGGGTATTTATTGCTTACATCAGCAAGCAGCAAATAAGGGCACAGGATTTGAACTGAAGGGAACTACTTTCTATCACCAGTGGCATTAAGATATAACACTTTATTTCACAAAGCACTGCTTTTTATCTAGTGTATAGAACCAAGAGCAGCATATATCAGACCAATAACCACTACTTGAATATGTATTATAGATTTTAAAGGACTTACCTTACAAATGGTACCTAACTACTCTATAAATGTGCATGTTGTGAACAAATGAATAGTTGCTATTTTTTACAATATTGGTTTATAACTTGACCACACTAGAACTACTTTATTTTCTAGAGGATTGAGTGTAGAACTTTCTACTGGTATGAGAAATGGAGTTAATACTGCTTATGTAGTCAGACCTACAAAATCTAGACCTTTAAAGTTGTGGTCTGTGTTTCATCCCAGTTCCATCCAGTCATTTTTCCCCACTGAAAAAACCTATTGCTGTACCTTCTTTCACCTTCTTTCTTCTGATCAAAAACACTACCAACAGACAACTAAAGGAAAATTTTTTTTAATTTAGCTAAGTGTTTTAGACTATAATATACAATTATAGTCTGCTGTAATTTTGCTGCCTCTGTTTTCTTGTTTCCTTAGATAATTTGATTTGAAACTGACACTGCACCTGATGGGTTGTTAACAAGATCTAGGCTTCAGAAAATAACAGATATGAGCGAGGTCTGTATATGTTGGTAAAGCATCAGGATGGTGAAAAGATTCTGATACTATAGTTGAAGCCATGTTTTACTCCCTCATCAACCACGTGTCACAAGACTTGAGAAAAGAAGAAAATGACTTCAAATCAAGAGAAGAAAATTTCGGAAAATCTGCTTTCATCCAGAATTTTAAAAATAAAATCTGTAGGTTAATAATCTGGTCATTGCTAAAGCAAAGCTGTTTTTATATATATAGCTATACTGGCAACCAAGATAGGTTAAAATCCTCTGTTTTTAAAATCCAGAATTTTAGTCCTATCCACTATGTAGATAGGGTCTGGGAACATAAAGTAATTATATAAACACACAAATTAGACAGTGGACATTTCTCAGCAAAAGCATGTAGTGCTTACTAATGACATATTAAATGATCACCACAGCAGGCAGCTCCTGTCAGCATGGCTGGTTCCTGGTTGACTGTTGGGGCAGGGAGCGGGAGGGTAACATGTCAAAATGGATATATTCATGATTTTTAGGGAATCAGGCTGCTTCACTGAATGAATCTGATTATTTATTTGCTTTCTTCATTTGAAGATATGCTTCTGGCTTCAAACTGCAGAAATGGCAAAAAGCAGACAATTTTAAAATTTGAAATGCGAGACACATGTCCTAGCTCTGCAGTCTGAGGTTGCATATAGCAGGACTCTGGTGCATTCTCCATTTAAAACTAGTCAGACCTCAGTCTCAGTAATCTGCATTCTCCTTTGCACTTGGCTTCTGGGCTCACTTTAGGCAGTGCTTTCAGTCTCTTTCATACCAATTCCTTCATTCCCTTAGGGGAAACAATTTGAGAAGTTAAAACTAGTATTTTTCATTCTCCAAATCCACTTTTTATTTTATAGTACTATATGCCTTTGCTGTCTGAACTTTTTTTTTAAAGGCAAAGAAAATAGAAATACTATTCTTCTTTTTAAGTGACAACTTGATTCTAGTACATATGTACCTGACATCATCTCCATTAAACCAGTTTTATTCCTGAGATGAAGGTACAGTGAGAAACATTAGCAATAGAGATTAAAACCAGTTGACAGCAATCTTCTAAAATGACATAATAAAAATTCCACCAAAAGCACCATAACAGTTATGAAACTCTCAAATAGCTACAGCCCTAGGAAATATTTTTTTAATTGAAAAAATTTTCAGTTATTCTTTTATGTTACAGAAAAAAAAATCAGTAAATCTTTTTGACTGTACCACCTCACAAAGTTTGTGAATATGACATTTTTATATTAGTTTTCAGCTTTAATTGTTACCAATGAAAACCCATATGGCTTTTAGTCTACATACTGAAAAAGGTGGGGGCGGGGTAGGGATTTCCTTCATAGTCCCATCTTCTGAGGACCATTCCTCAGCTAAAACTAATTCTTCATTAAGTTTTCCTTAGATATATTAGGCACATCAGACCAGATTTCAACTGCGTTGAGATTTCAACACTATATGTCCTAACTGAAATAACTCACAAGCTTCCACTAGTGATGTGAAAGGGTAGTAGGGTGGGAATTGTATGTAGGTGTAGAGACACATCACAGGGACCAGTTGTATAATTTTGCTAGTGAAACTGCCAATACTTTTTTTTTAGATTGAAAACACTGTATTTTGAGTTTCCTAGAGATCTATTTACATTTAAGAATTGAGCCATCCATGGTTTCATAATGAAGCACATATATTTCAAAAATGTCTACCTTGATTCTACTCTGATAGTGGTTTTTATTGGGGAGACCTAGCTAGCCTACTTTTAAGAGAAAATATTATATTTTATAGCTCCAGGGAAGATCTGGGTATGAAATATCATTACTCTTTCTGAAATTCCTCATCATGTTTTGACTGTACACTTTCCAACTATATTGTGTCCATGGCAGAGAACCTCGTAACACCCTACTTTTCTTCCCACTTCGAATAAGTGAGGACAGGCTATTGCCCATTTTGTGGGAAGGTTCTCGAGCAGAGAGAAATGAATAAAACTTTGGATTAAACCTGAACCGCCTCTTTGAGTAGTGGTAGCGTAAATGAAACAATCTAGAAACTCTCTTTCCCAGGAATATGAACTGTTGATTTTCCAACCTAGAACAGACAGGAGATAAGCTCTCCATTCTGTATATCTGCTGCCCTGTTGAACCCAAATTACAAGAGGGGAACTCTCCAGTACCACTCCATTCAGGCAATGATGATTGAACTGAATTTTTTTCCATCATTAGCTTATTAATAAGATTTGCTTTCTTTGGTGCAACAGGACCAAACATCTCAACTGGTGGCAAAAACTGGCCACTGTCAACTTTGCTTGCTTCTATTTGTGTGAGATCTAGGTAGCCTGGGTCTTCCAGCACGTTGATTTGGGACCCTGGGCTCAGGCTAGTTCTATCAGTGAATGAATCCACACGCCCATCATAGCCTAGATCGGCTGGTGCTGAGCACTGGTGCTGAGGCCAAGGGCGTTTGCACTCTCCATGATTCTCCTTATCATCCCCACCATCTTCTTGCCCTCCTTGAAAAGAGTTCTCTGTCCAATCTGATTCCTCACTAACATTTACAGCTTTGTTCATGTCCCTCAGGAAAACCACAATAACAGTGATGTTATCACTTGACCCAGCATCACGAGCTGATGCCACTAATTTGTGGGCAACCATGCTGCTGTCTCCATTATTTTCCTTCAAGTGGTCTGATACAACTTTTACTGCCTCATCAGGGTTCACGGTGTCGTAGAAACCATCACAGGCCAGAATGAGGTAGTCTTCAGTTCCATCCAAAACAGTAGAGGCAGAATCTGCATCCCCACAGATATATGGCTTATGTTCAGCATCTCCTGCGGGAATTAGGAAGTAGATCAGATATTGGTTTACCATGTAAGAATGCTGATGGCCACTGTCATTACTCTGATCACAATTTACTGGACTGCAATCTGATTTTTAGTGAAAAATACTTGTATTCTCTAATAATGTGAGGCTGCTCATTCCTTACTCCTAGTTAAATAATTGCCATTCATTGGGCTTAATTTCTTACCTAGCTGAGACTTTGAATTTTGTGTCTCTAGTTAATTATTTTTTTTTAAAGATTTATTTATGCATACAAGAGCTGGGGCACAGGCCAGAGGGTGTGTGTGTGTGTGTGTGTGTGTGTGTGTGTGTGTGTGTGTGTGTGTGTGTGTGTGTGAGAGGATTCACCAGAAACAGAGTGGGGAACAGAACAGGATGTACACTGCTGAGGGGAGCAGCGGGCGAGCCAAGAGAGCTCTGCTGCACCATGTAGGTTGCTCTCTGGCTGGCCAGGGATCGAACTCGTGCTGCAGAGGCTGTGGACGGCTTCATAGGTTGTGTCTTAACCCTGTGCGCCACCAGGGAGGCCCTCTAGTTATGATTTAGGCCTAGCTAAGTATTGCAGCAAATGTCAAAGCTAAAATCTGTATGAAAAAAATCCAGTCCAACAAAGGAAAACTTTGTTGACTTAGTAGATCTCTAGTTCTTTTAATGGTTAGGTTTGGTTTGAGACTGGGAACAAGGCCATATTAATAAACCAAAGTTCTAGCCGTTTTCTTCATTAGAGAATTTTTGTTCTAACCTTGTCTAGAATCAGTAGCTTCATGCTGTGAGCACAGAGGAAAGTTTGAATAATAAGGGGTTTTAAAAAATCAAGTCCAGCTATTCAAGCCAAGAAAAGTCATCTGTAGCCTAAATGGAAATCTCTTGATTGCCAGTCCAATTTGCTTTACTTGAAACTTACACAGAATAGTCAGAAAATGACCAGTTTCTCTCATCTTTAGGGACTACCATCTTGTTTTCTTCGTATGTTTGGTCACCGTCCTCGTCTTGCTTTTTTCCCACTTAGGAGCAACTGTGAGAACCCCCTGAGAACCCTACTGAGTCTTTATTCTTGCTTAGCTCATCCACTTAAAAGAATGACATTTGAGCTGGGCCTTGAAGGACAGTTGTCACCAAGTACAGACGGGATCGTGATTGAGGGAACTAGGAAAGACCCAGTACTAACTCCTGTTAGGGAGTAACGTGTAGTAGAATAGAAGGTGCTTGAAGTGGAAAGAGATTGGAGACGTCTGGCCCATACTAGGCTAGATTTCTATCACCAGACTACTGACATAATTTTTCATCTATGATGTGTATTGGAACTTTCAGACTCATTGTTTATACTCACTATTTTTCTCTAGATAATTGGCGAGAGATAGCAAAAGGGTCCTTAGCCTATTGAGTAGCCAAAAGCTTATTATGACAAGGGTTATTAATTTATGCCATCTTTACATAAAAAAAACAGTATTGAAAAAAATACTGGGTATTATAGACTACTGTAATTCATTGGTAAACAGTAGTATAAAAATTTTACCAAGTGCTTTATCATTTGTAAGGTAGTAGCATATAGATTAATTATTAAGGACACCAGCACTGGAGTCAGACGGGGTTCAAATCTTAGCACTTCTTACTTACAAACCCTTATTAATTATTGTCCTTTCCATTGTACTGAAACTGACCTTTTTTACCAAGAGAAGATAAAAATACTAAAGTGATTTGGCTGTAGCACCACTATGTCTGATATATGTTATAGACTCTTTCCTACCCATGTAAAGTGTCTCTCTAATGTTTCACATCCCTGTAGAATTCTCAGGTAAGCCAAGAAAGTTCTGTAGGAACCCTATGAGTAACATGGAACACATGTTTTATTTAGCAAATTACTTAATGGATCAGATACTCAGAACAACAGATAGTTACTTAATATAATTACCTGGATTAGTTTATCTAGTCTTTTCCCACAGTAGCCAGAACTGTCTTTCTCAAGTATGGCTTTGTTTTCATCAACTTCAGTTCTTTACTATAATGCCTCCCAATAGCCTATAAATCTAGTTAAAACTTCAATCATGGGATTCAGTGTCCTCTACCCATCTATTTCCCTAAATTTCCCCAGCCCTTCGCTCCACCTGACTGTATTATTATCATCATTATTATTTTCTGAATTCCAGCTCTAAAAATAAATGTGATCTGAGTCATACTGTTCCCAAAAGTCTTGTTTTAGTGCTTCAATTAAAAGGCTACTGCAACTGTTAGTTTGGAACAGAACATACAAAGATTTGCACAGAGAAAATGCTGCCAAAATTCTGGCTTTTCACCTGCTCTACTGTTGGATGTCAAATTCATGACATTTCGCCCCCAAATTTGGTAGGAGGGCATGATTATCCATTTCATGGTAGAAATGGCAACATCCTTTTGTCTTCAGCCTCCTCTCTCCATATGCTAGGAAACATATCATGCTTCTGTCAGCTTTGGATCAGAAATCTGAAGAGCTCATGGGGAGAAACTGTTGAAAAGCTTTTCATTTTTAAAGCTTTAAGTGTCATTTATTTTCTAAGTAGATATGAACTCTGCTCAGGAGTCCTTTTTTTTTTTTTTTGTCTCTGTATAGCCTCCTATTTAATTCCATGAGCTTTCCAAATCTTTCTCACATTCTTCAACTCCTTCTAGTTAAGCTACTGGATTTTAGTAAATGGTCTAATTTCCTGCTTCAAAGAAAATTAAGATATCAGGCCTGAATTCCTTCAATATATAACCACCCCCAACCCTCAATTTTCTTAATCTGTAGAGATTTACCTATATCTGCTACCATTTTCTCAGAGTACCTGTCTCTAGGACTCTGACTTCTCTTATCTTCAATTTCTTTTCTATTTGCTCTCTTCTTTTATCCTATAAATGCTCTGATCTAAAATTTCTTCATCCTAAAAAAAATAAATAAATAAAAGCAACTCTTTACCAAATGAAGCTTTTCCCTCAGACCACCATACTAGTCCCCTTACAACCAAATTGCCTAAGAAACTAAGTCTACACAGGCTCCTTTATGTTATTGCTCATTTTCCCTTACCCGATTATTTTTTTTCCTACTTACTAATGTAAAATATTTCCCTAAAATGTTACCAGTTATTTCCTATTTTTAAAATTCCATGCCTTTTTTTTTAACCTACATCTTACTCGACTTCTGCATCATTTGATTCATAGACACTTTACTCCTAGCAACCTACCCCTCTAATGTGTGATACCCCACTTCTGTATCTCTGATCCCATCTTCATTTTCATCTTCCAGATTTTCTTCAGTGGCTCTTTCACTTAATAATAGCACTAATTATCGTATGCTAAGACTGCCAGGCAAGGTTCTAAGTATGGGTATGTATATTTTACCATTAATACAAAAACTCCATGACTTAGGTACTTTTTACTATTCCCACTTTACGAGGAGCAAGTAGACACAGAAATTAATTCCCCACGGCCTACAGCTTGTGAAGTGGCAAAGCCAAGATAGAGACCAAGAAAGCATGGCTTCATGATGTTATTCTGCCTTCCAGGAGTCTCATCTTGGTGTCTCTCCACAGTATTTATTCTTCCTAATCAGTGTCATTCATGCCTATAATTTTGACTTTCTAAATCTGTCTATCTGTCTAACTTCACAGGTTGCTAATATTTTTCTCAAAATGGGATGAATCCCAATTTTTCTCCAACTTAGAGCTCTACTAAGCTCCACATCTGTGTTTCAATTGCATATGAATTATCTCTTCTCAACATCCCACAGGTACTTAGGATATAAAATATGTCCAGTATGAATTCATTATCTGCTCTATTCCTCATCCCCAAATTGCTGCTGCTTTTTTCAAATGCTTTATCATATTATTAGTCATACAAGTCAGAAACCTGGAAGTTGGTTTTCCTTTCCCCCCCACAAACTGTCATTTATCTCAGTTTATCCTCCTCTGTATCCCTATTTAGCATCCTCATCTCCGTAATAAACTGTATCAGCAGTCTCCTGAATAATCTCCCATCTAAGCTTTCTTTCCACCCCATCATTACAAATATATATACAAACATAATCACGAGGCCCTTCTGCTTATTCACCTGATGAAATCCAGGCTACCTACCCTCACATATAAAACACATAAGCCCTTTCATATTCTGAGCCAGCATGTATTTTGCCACTCCCACTCTGTCCTAGCATATTGTGCTTGCTGTTGTCCCTAAAACACCACGCCCTTTCAACAGACACTCTAGTGTTTGAAATCGCTACCTCTGCAATTTCCTTTCCTAAACAATAGCCTGCACTCAACAGTCACTGCCTCTAGGAAGTCTACCTGATTCTCTCTCAGACTGTCACTTCTTCAAAGACATTGATCCTCTGCATAGTTTTATGTTTAGAAACAAGAAAAGGAAGGTATCCTCAGTAAAGTTGGTCTTTTAACAAGCATTAAAGCTGCCTCAATATTCTGACAGACAGTAAGATTAAGAGAAGAGATCGTTGGTTGAAGTTGTCAAAAAATAATTCTACATAAGGATGTATTTTAGAAATGAGAAATTTCCTCTTTCCTTATTCCAGAGTTCTTAATAATGACCATAGTCTAACGTAAAGCTGACTCTCAGTTTTTTAGGAGGTACTTGCAGAATATTTTAGCTCGCTCGCTCTCAGCATTCTGCTACTCACATTTGGGCCACTTCACAGCTTGCCAGCACCTTCACCAAAAGTGGGAGGAACTTGCATCATTGGTGGAATAATCAATCCTTTGAAGTGTTAATTTCTGGAAATTTTTTGGTAACAATAAGGTAAATTTGGGAATTAAATGTGAATTGCACTTATCCATGTTATCCCTATGTCAAACTGCATTTTTTTAAGGCGTCAATGATTAAGTACTGCAATATATGTACATATCACCCATATGACACACAAATTGATTTATTCTTTTAAAAAATGAACTAAGATATGAAGTCAAAATAACAAACCCAGGTGCCAAAGATAAAGATACAATACTATAACTCAATTCTTTAAACTTATGCCCTTGCATTTTTGTGCATTCAACATAGCTATTAACCTTGTAAATTTTAGAGTGTCATTGACTTGCCCCTTTTTTTGAAGGATTTAGGTCCCAGGGAGACAGGTTCTTAAAAACCCCAGGGTTATCTGGCAAAGTACTATATTTTACATGTGGAAAGTAGTTTTCATCTAAAAAGCACAATTTTTTTCCTGTGAATTTTTTCTCTGATTTTTGTCATTTTTAGAATTCACTGAAAATAATTTGATGATAAAAGCAAAGTAAAATATGGGGGTTGGGAGGATATTGTCCATGCTCTGAAGAACACTAATTTAAGCGAAATATAATCCTGGATGAAATGAGGGTCACTGTGATTTTAAATAGAATTGATAGCAAATATTAAAGGCTTCCATTTTTTTTAAAAAAGGATAGAAACTATTAAGTTCTATATGTCTTAATATAGTTCCTTTTTAATAATGGAATTTGAATGAGTAGGTTGATTAAATAATTAAGCGGTATTATCCAGTTGTTATTTTAAACAAAATAAATAACCAAATGAATTGGTTTTTCCTACCAATAGCTCTGGAGACCGACAGACTTCCATTCACCCGCCAGGCACCAAACCAGACTACACAACCTCCAAGGGCCTCAATTCGCTGTTTTTCATCCTAAACAGCAATGCAACAAAAAGAAACAAATAACTGGATTCAGGATTAATTCATCTACTTTAACAGTAAATAGCAGATATAATATTTATCAGCTTCCTGGCAAGGTTCTATTTCTCCTTTAGAAGGTAGTCATGATTGCTGAGATAATAGTGATTAAATTAGAGTGAATCTCGATTAGTATCTAGACAACTGCCTTTCTATCAGGTGCCCTGATAGAACAAACTATACTTACCTCTCTGTCTGGTTTGTGTGGCTTCATTAGTTCAACAGCTTGGCCTTTTCTCACAAGCATAACCTGGGAATCACCTACCCAGGCCACATGTAACATGTTGCCTCTGATAAAAGTCACCACTCCCGTGGTCCCACATCTTAAGCTCTGAAAATAATTTAAATAAAACTAGAGTCAGTAAAATTAAGCAGACACCAAATTCTCATTGGGAAACAATTTATGATTAATACAAACTTTTCAAATGGGAGCTAGACTATTAATAACGATTTCACAATAGTGGTTCCTCTTTCTCAAAGTACTTGTATGGGCATATATGTATTTTTGTATATAAACACATAGATCCATCTGATCTGTGATATGCAAGGCAAGGATGATTATTAATTCCAATCTATATATAGGTAAAGGGCAGGTAAATGATTAGTACATAAAATAGAACAAATTCTTTTTCTTCCTAGTCTGGTGTTAAATCCACCTTATCAGTCCTTAGAATTAAGCTTTCCATATTCTGGTCTCTGAGGGCAAGAGTTCTAGCTTCACAAAATAACATAGAAAGCATCTGATTGGTATGCAACAAATGCTCCCATACTGTGGATATTAAGATAGGAGCCAAGAGATAACACATTCCCTAGAGTGCTGAGATACTTACATCTTTTTTAAAAATTGTATTCTCTATAGCAATTTTAGGGGCCTTTGCTTTTAGAACATTGTATGAAAAAAAATCTAACAGCCTAGAATTCCACTGTAGTCTCTCAGTACCACTGTACTTAAAGCTCTTGATACTACTGTACTAAAATGACATCCCCATTTGACATGAGTCACCACCAAATGAGCATGACTTTCTGTTACTAAGGACTTGGCCTAAATTAGAACATATGCGTCAAGGGTGGTAAAGGTCCCTTGTATCCAATGAGAAAAACAACTTCTCGTTTTCCCTATATAGGGAAAGTTTGTTAAAAATCCTCACCCACCAATAAAATGTCTTCCCACACAGGCTGTTCAAAAATTCAGCCCCCTGGAACACATGATAAAGACATTTCAGTGCTTATGCCCTGGAGAGAACAGGAGGCAGGACTGCTTCACAACAGGAATAGCAACTTTCTTCCCAGCAGTTAGCAGCACATGGAAGCACAAGAAGGAGAACAGTAACTGTTGACACAAACCTAAATTATTCAAGAGAACTATTGGAGGACTGACAGACATTAGGATCATTGGCAAAGCAAATGAAGTGAACATGGTTGAAAAAAACAACACAGTAGTTTTGAGGACACAGAGGAAAAGGGACAGAACAGAGGATGAAGAACAAGTGATTCCCTTATTTCACGTTGGTGATTGCAGATCACCTCTCAGATCTAGGGCTTGTCCTCAGAATGGTGACACCCAGGTCCAAGGCAGAAGCAAGCAAGTTCAGCCTTCAAGCGACCCTGGGAAGGTCTAAGGTCAAGGATTGTATTTAGTATATACAGACCCTAGTATATAGACCTTAGTAGATTTGCATATTAGTCTGAACCTTGGGAGGGTGGGGAGATATAGAATGTTTCCCTTGTATAATACCAAATAGTTCTAGTTTATTGCTTCATCCCGAGCCCCCATTATTGCTATGCAGCATAACTATGAAATAAAAGAAATGGACTAAAAAAAAAAAGAATGGATTAAATGATTACCCTGTTCTTTCCAAGTCCGTTTTTAAAAGAGTTAATGCTTAAATCACAAGGCAAGAGTTTTATTTTTCTATGGGTATATAATTCTGTAATTACTTTAAAAGCTCAAAAATTATTCTCTTTTGGCCCCCAGTTAGAAATGAACATAGAGTACTGTAGTTAATTACCAATGCCCAGAATGATAATTAAAATTTTTACTCTGAGATCTTAATATAGAGACCCTGTCATTCAGAGTAAAAATTGTAGGTCTGATTAACCTTAACAAAATAGGACACATGCTTTGACTTTTCCTGTAAGAGAAAATCAGTTTAAGGATCATCTAAGGATTCACTCTCTCCAAGCAAATTTTCCCTCAAGAGAAACACAGCAAAATACTGCCATCCCATTTAGAACCAAATATATGGAAGTAATCCCAGCTTCAGTTTCTTTTTTAGATTATTGTTTTAATCACCATACCCAGAGCTTGTTAGCCAAAGTCTGCTTAGAGAGATGGTCCTGGTGTGAACCTGACAGGCAATGATAAATAAGATAAATAAAATTCACCTGCCACATTTAGCTATGGATTGGCTTTCTAGAAAATTATAATCTGCAAGTTTCTATATATTGTATATCATGGCATCCTCATCAAAACTATTCTTAAAGAAGGAATTAGAACCACAATAGAATTCAATAGTGTGGATTAATAGTACAGTTTGGAAGAAACTTCAAATAATACCAGCCCCAAAAGAGAAAATTAAAAATAACTCTTTAACCACAGACCAAGTTAAGCTCAGCTAGTGCATCACAGGCTGGGATTTTTGAGAAAACAGCATACCTCCCTGGCAGCTTTCTGCACAAACCGCTCATCAGTGACCCGGAAAGCACGGCACAGGGCCTCGGCAGGATCATGGGGGAACATCTCCTGGCGTACTAAATTAACGTGCAGGTGAATGGAGGCATAAATGGCAGCGTCCACTCCCCCATGGCCATCAAACACTGCAAAATAAGCTTGTTCTTCCTGATCCTGTCATTAGAAACACAAACAGTTAAGGGAGTTAGGTGTTGCATGATTCAAATGAGTTAATCCCAGGCACTTTTGCCCATCTTCTTCCACCGTTTTTGTCCCAGATAAAACCATGTTTCAGGGCCTCCCGATGGTGCAGCGGGTTGAGCGCAGCGCTGTGAAGCTGTCCGCAGCCTCTGCAGCGCGGGTTCCATTCCCGGCCGGCCAGGGAGAATCCCACGTGGCGTGGCGGGGCAGACCTCTCCTTGTCTCACCCGCTGCTCCCCTCAGCAGCGCTTTTGGTCCGTCTGCCTGTTCTGTTCCCCGCTCTGTCTCTGGTGAATCCTCTCACTCTCCCACGCCTCTGGCCTGTACCCCAGTTCTTGTATAAATAAAATAAATTGTTAAAAAAATAAAAAATTATATATATGTTTAAAAAAAATAAAACAGTTTCCCTTTTCTGACATGCCTGATCAACTGCTAAAATACCTGCAATATTAGGGCATCTGTGTTTACACACCAGAACACTGGAACATATCATGCCCAATTAGCTCAGGCTTAAGTGCCCTCTATGTGAAGTTGTCTTGTACCATGGAAACCACCCACATACATTTGCTTCAAAATTGTTACAAGTTGTGGGGAGGGAGAGGGAAGGTACAAAGAAGGATTGAGTGAAAGCTGTTCTGGATTGAGAGTAGGTTTTTTTTCCCCCAAATGAAAGTAATCATAAAATTAGCAACTGAGAACAATAGGAAATAATTGGCCTTTCATCAAGCACATGGCCAATTATGTTAGGTTGTTTAAAATATATAGAGATATGAAAGCATATATATACGTCCAAACTATAAAACCTCCTTCATAAATCGCTCATGGTCATATTGAATTCTCACCAAAAATAATGTAAGAGTTTCTAAACTAGTTAGCTACACTCAAACCCAATTAGAAAATCAGATGCTCCAATGCCCAGTGACCCATGATCCAAGACTTGTCTTGTCCCATGATCCAAGACTTAATTCACATTTTCTTGTCTTGCTTGAAACTCTAAAGTAACTGTCAGAAGAGAATCTCCCAAACCTGTTCTTTGTCTTGACAAAGGAAGCCTAATCACAAGATACTTTTAAACCATTAAGTAGTCCTTTCTTCATCTCAAGTGTTCTCAGATCTAGCGCCTTTAGGAGTCTGTAACTCAAATGAATGCACTTTGATTCCTTGGGCTCCCTTTAGGCAACAATAGTATGTAATGATTTTCATTTCAAGTCTTTAACTTCTTTGAGTTCTAGGAGCTAGACTGAGAACAGGTCCTATGACTGATTCTTAAGTTGTATAATTTTCTTGTGCTCGTTTTCTCGGTGGGGGTGAGTTTCTTCTTGAAATTTGAAAGGACTACTAAAACAAAAGGTCTATTCATGCATTGACTAAGTTCTTTTTATGAATATATTATATTTATAAAAATACCAAACATAAATTCCATAGAGAAATAACACCTACATGCTATGAAACCTGTAGCTTTATAGACATCACTGACTTACTAATTTAATTTTATCAACACCATTTATAATATCATTGAAGATTACCTCATTAATCAGAACTGTCTAGAAAAAAACCCTGACATAGAATTTCTACTTGTACTAAAGCAGTATTCATTTTTAAACAACTCACTGGGCAGAATAAGGATGAAATTGAAAAACGAAACAGCATATGCAAGCAATTTTTACATAAATAAACTGATGTGGGATCATCACAAAGAGGGGAAGAGCAATAATACCTTTTAGGGGGCATGAGATTGTGATTTTAGATAGTGTGAAAAGATGGGAAGATGGGAAGGTGGGAAGATTCTTAATATAGCATCAAAAGAAACAGGAACCGAGTGCGAATCTCTTTTTAAAAATGTATGGCTGTTGCCAGAGGGGAGGAGGAGAATGGAAAAATGAATAGATGGGGTGAGTGACCTACAACTATGGTGATAGGTTAAGTGTGGTATATAAGGTGAAGCTGTATTCCATAGACTTACTTAGTATTGGAAAACAATGGTAAGTCAATTGAAAAATAAAATAGTACAGCTTCTTAAAAAATGCACTGATGTTTCCATGTTATGAAAATAATGTATGTTTATTTGGATAAATAAAGAAGTGTAAAGAAATAAAAATCCTCTATAATTCCACCATCCACATAAACCAGTCTTTTCTATACATATATATATTTTTTAATAAAATTAGGATCATATTGTACATAAAATGTTATAACCTGATTTTGGTCATTTACCACACTTAGCATTTCTCCTCTGTCATTAAGTACTACTCAAAGACATTAATAGATATAATCTATATCTTAGGAGTATATCATAATTACCATTTCCTATACTGTGATGATTTAGATAATTACCATATTTTTTTATTATTGACTGTATAAAAACATTTACATCGAACCATGTTAAGACTTTTCTGAATTTCTGTTTCCTTATAAAATTAAAAGTATAATTATCAGATCAAAGGGTGTGAAATTTTATAAATTTCTAAATATGTGGTGCCAAATTGCCCATAAAGCCTGTTTCACTATAGCACGATGCTCCTTCCCAAATTAGGCCTTTGGGTTGATTTTGAGGCAAAGTGAAAATGAACCTGGTCAACAAACAGCAATAATGTTCTCAAATCTGAGTATAATCGTCAAGTGGGTATAGTGATACGAGGACTGTTATCCATAAAGCAGCCCTTTGAGTTACATGAGTATGGTCATGGTAACAACTAGAAACAAAGATATGAGCTAATCTGTCTTTGTAATTTAAGCACAATTTACCAACCCACCATCTCTGCTGATCAGACCTTGACAGTGAGCTAAAATTTAAATTTAGCTGCTAATTGAATTAGAAACTAAACATTGTACCCTGTATAAATTACTACATTGTAATTTAAGTTACGAACTTGAGTGAAGAGGCAAGTGACAGGCAAAGGAAACAATCCTACTTCTGCTTATAATAACATAATATATTTAATAGAAAAAGAGGAAGATAACAAGAAAATGGTTATTAAGTTGACAAGGCTCATATGATCCAATTTGTCAGTCACAAAGATTCATGAAATGTAATTCCAGCTACTTTCCTATTTCAAACACCAAGATTTCAAAAAGAAAATCACATGAAATCAGAAAACTGCTTAGTCTTAAGTTTGTATTTTGTGTTGCTTCATCAACATAGTAATATGGGAACTTAATAAACACCATGTGATTATACTACAGAAATAATTTCACCTAAAAAACTGCTTAATTGAGTTATATTGGTTTTCTTTTGTGTGTATATGTTTATAGAATAGTTCTAGAAGGCTACACAAGAAACTGGCAACCTCCCTTGCTTTATGGAGAGTAAATGAATGAGGGAAGAGTTGAGAGAGATTTTTATTTTCCAGTTTTGAACCACGTGAGCGCATTACCTATTCAAAACAACATAAAATCGTTTCTTTTCTGTTGCCTAATGCAAGCAAATTTGTGCCACTTTGCCTTTAGTCCTACTCCAACCTATCAGAGAAACTATTAGAAGTTCTCCTTTTCTCACAGGACCATGAAGGTGATTGCTTTGTTTTTTAAATCTCATGACTCTTCAGAAGTGCCCTTTACCTCTAGGTTGAAGAGCATATTAAAGTCAGGAATGCAGACATGTTTGTCCTCCATTTTCCTGCGCATGTTTTTGATGGCATGGATTGATGTCTCATAATAAAGCTGGGGTCTCCTGCGGAGAGGGAAGTCTTTCACCCAGCTGCAGCAAATCTCATGTAGTTTGCTGAAGACAGAACGGGCCAATTTCACTGTCTCAATCTCTGTGAAAGAAACAGAAACCTCCAATGAAGAGCCTTGTAAAACTGCTTTTCACTTGCCTGCTTGGTAAAGACAGAAGTAGGTCACCTTAGTCAAGTTCCTCCTTAATAGAAGAATTTCTTCCTTCTCAAGAGAAATGAAATGTTGCTTCTGAAGAGAGAAAATGACAACCTATCTAGTATAAAATCATCAGCCAGCAACTGCCACTAAGATACTCTTATGTCATAAACAGAAAACCTCTGGCCAGAGCTGGATCTATTCCTAGACTGGATTTCTTCCAGCCTGTGAAATGCTATCTAGTTCAGAGCACTGGTTCCCTTTTGGCTGGCCTGTCATAGCTATCACTTGGAGAGCCAAGCTCCCTATGCTTAGAAGAATAATGAAATAGGAACAGCAGTTAACTAGCTAATTGGAATATGAGAGCCCTATGAAAATATGTATTTTCAAACTTAGAATAGAAATTTACCTTGATAACCATTTGTCTTTGTCCCTTTTTTCCTGGCCTCTTCTTTACCTCCTTCCAGTTCACTAACTTCTCCCCTATAACTGATTGTAATTCAGAACCAAATTAGGTGTTTTGATTGACAGATTTTTAATTAAAGACAAATAATAGTTTAGCCAATAGACTAAGAAATGAGTTAAAAGCTTTGTATCTCTCAAAGAAAAAAAAATGTACTTAAATTCTGTCTATGTGTGTGACCCTGGACAGAAAAAATGAGGTAGCAGTCAGAGAATTTGTTTGTTAGACTAGTAAGTCTACTACTTGACCTAGTAAGTGGAGTACACCAGCAGACTTCTGAGCCTGATTTGCCTCCCTTGATGGATGGACAAATGTATAAGTCTTTTAAGCAACACTGGCACTTGAGGGTATTTCACATAATTTGTACCCTGATTTGTATTCATAGAAGTATTTGTTAGTTTTATAATATTGTCTTTCCCATCCAAATATGCTCTGTGAAAATAAGGAATTTATTGCTTTGATCACTGCTGAATATTCAGTGTTTGGCACAAAGCTTGGCATATGGTAGCCTTTAATATATTTTTTAATGTAAAATTGAGCAAATCCTTCCACCTGTAAGCCTTATGATTCAAATCATGGAAGGAAAGACTAAAATGTAAGTGGGCCAAGTGATCCACAAATTTCCACTGTGGCACAGATATGCCCAGAAAGATGGAAAAGGAAAAGCAACTGAGTCTGACAGATTGCCAATGTCTTACTCAGTGAACATAGAGAAACTAGCTCAAAGGTAGTTAAAAAAATGTACTTAAATTCTGTCTATGTGTGTGACCCTGGACAGAAAAAATGAGGTAGCAGTCAGAGAATTTGTTTGTTAGACTAGTAAGTCTACTACTTGACCTAGTAAGTGGAGTACACCAGCAGACTTCTGAGCCTGATTTGCCTCCCTTGATGGATGGACAAATGTATAAGTCTTTTAAGCAACACTGGCACTTGAGGGTATTTCATCTCACATTAACTTTCCATTCAAGTTGTCCTCTACTGAAGTTGCAGCTCTTGAAATAACCAAGGGGAGGCGTCCCCGGTAGCGCAGCAGGTTGAGCACAGCACTGTGAAGCTGTCTGCAGCCTCTGCAGCGCGGGTTCAATTCCCGGCCAGCCAGGGAGATTGCCACATGGCGCGGCAGACCTCTCCTGTTGGCCAGGGAGATTCCCACATGGCATAGCAGACCTCTCCTGTTGTACCCGCTGCTCCCCTCAGCAGTGTATTTCGATCCATCTGCCTGTTCTGCTTCCTGCTATGTCTCTGGTGAATCCTCTCACCCTCCCTGCCTCTGGCCTGTACCCCAGCTCTTGTATAAAAATAAATAAATATTTTTTTTAAAAAAAAAAGAAATAACCAAGGGGAGATTAAGTTTTCTCAGGCCAGTATTTTAGAGGTTTCTTCTAGATCTCAGGCTTAAAAAAAAAGGCAAAGCTCTTAAAAAAAATCTTTTTTACTTTACTAAATCAGATATAGTTTGACAGCCTGGGAATATGTGTGCCAGATGGGCAATGGCTGTGCATGCCTCCTCTGATCTAGAACACAAATCCTAGAGAAGAGCAACTATATGTTCTAGAACAATCTGAAACTTGAATTTCTTTGTTTTTATTCCTAACCCTGCCTTTGCCTTAATCTGTGACTATATTTACCTGCTTTCTTATTTTAAAATTTTTTTTAAATGACTATGTTCCGAAAGCTGATCTCATGTTTTTTGTTGCTTTTTCTTCCCATTAACATAGCACCGGGTGGTAAGCCATGTTTTGTGACTTTGTTCCCTTTACATTTTTATATCACTGACAATCAAGGGTACATTTGAAAGAGAAAAGTCCAAAAGCAAATACAACCTCAAGGAGTGTACATAAGAGGGAAGCTGAGGCCAACGGACAATTCAACATTTTGATTGTTTTGAATAACTCCAATCTTTTTTTTTTTTTTAAGCAACAGTTGCCAGGAGCTGTCTCTTACAGCCAGCAGTTACCTACTTGTATTATTCCAACTCATCTAGTCTCTGCAGCAGTATAGTTTCCAAATATAGGTCCTACATTTGGGTGTGTGTTTGACTTATTCACAACAGAGGCTTGCAAAACAAAAGAATCCAGAAATCTTGAGGGAGAATGGGGTGAGATAAAACAAAGAAATGATATTATCAAGACAGTTCTCAGATACCATATAATATAAGCCCTTATGTCATTCTTTGTTTTGTGTATTACTCTTACATAGATCTGCACACTGTCCACCAAGGTAGCTATTAGCTACAGGTAGCTTTTAATTATTTTTTAATGCTTTCATCACATTTGCTTTATTTCAAGTGCTTAACAACTACACGTGGCTAGTGGCTACCACTTTGGACAATGCAGGTAGAGAACATTTCCATCACTGCTCTATCAAGGCAGCACTGGTCTAGACATATTAAATTGATTATAGGAAGCAATGCCAGCTTCCTCTAATACACAGTAAACCTCTAGATTTTGTCATGACCCTTCCCAGTTGCTCCTTCCCGTTACACTTTATTCCCACTATCTATTACAATTCTCAATTTTGTAATGATAGATAATATTTATTGGATATTTACTATATTCTACATATCTTGAACATTTCACAAGCAGGTAAAACCATTATAAATCCGAGGTATATCTGACTAAAATCATGCTCTTCATTTCTCAATTAACAATCAGACAATGTATCAAGTTGTACTTGATTAGTCGTCTTAGTACAGTACCTAGCAAATAACAGGAGCTTATTATATGCTTATTAAATAAATAAATATGCAAACTGTTATATAAATTAACCACTAAAATATTAAAATATTTGTATGATTCTTGATCATTTATTCTGCTTCACTGATTGCTCCATCTGTTTCTGCAATGGTGCTATTCTTTCAAAACTACAATAACTTTATATTTTAAAAACAAGATAACTAGCTTTCCTATCATTCATAATTTTAAAAGATGTCACTTTGGTAATTTCACATGCTTTTTGTTTCAAATGAATTTTCCAATTATTTTGCCAAGTTTGGAGCGGGGAGGAATGATCTACAGCCATTGTGTTTGGGATCACAGTGAATTTACTGATTTAGAAAAATTTACTTTTTTCCTATTGAATCTTATCCAGGAACAAGTTATAGTGTTTCGTTAATTTAAATCCTTTTTTTTTAAAGATTTATTTATTTATGCACACAAGAGCTGGGGTACAGGCCAGAGATGTAGGGGGTGAGAGGATCCACCAGACACAGCGTGGGGAACATAACAGGCAGACTGACCAAAATACACTGCAGAGAGGAGCAGCAGACGAGACAGGAGAGGTCTGCCTCACCATGTGGGTTTCTCCCTGGCTGGCCGGGGATCGAACTCGTGCTGCAAAGGCTGTGGATTGCCTCATAGTGTGGTGCTTAACCCCTTGCGCCACCAGGGAGGGAGGCCCTAATTTAAATCCTTTTTATTTTAACATATATCTTTCATTTTTCTACATTATTCCAAGTTTTTTAAATTTATTTGCTATTTTGAGTCAGAACTTTGCTTTAATGTGTTACATGCCAGCTAGCAAACGTTCCTCTTTCTACCAAGGATATTTCCTTTTCTGTACTCAATCCATGTGCATTTAAGGGTAAAACACGTGATTCAGGTCTAGGAAATTAGAGAATCAAATTTCTTTGGTAATGGTGATTGGTTCAGGAATGGGAAATAAATTGGGCTATTTAGAGTGAATCTTGTCACTCAGCAAGTAAGTAAAGTTGCTCATATTTTCCTGTTTGATTTGAACTTGGGTAGCTGAAGACCTGGTGCTCCTAGCAATCATCTTGCCACCACATGGAGCCTGAAAATAAAATCAAAATGAAAGAAGTACAGATGAGAGTTGGAGAAATGCCAGACTCTGATGCAATATGTGAAGAAGTCTTGAATCTAGCTGTGTAAACCTTACTGTGAAGGGTAGCCTAGCCTGTAAATTCAGTTTTACTGAAGCCAGTTTGAGTTATGTTAGTGGTCACTTGTAACCAAAAGCTTCCTGAGTATATATACATTATGCATAAAGGCTAGGTTTGGGTTTGAATTGAATATTGTCCTACAATAGGACAAAAGCTGTCCCACATTGACCAAAGTGTATCAACCTAGTTCAACTTTATTAAGTATATTTTTGTTTGTTTGTTTGTTTTTAAAGGGATACAGTCTTTTTTTTTTTTTTTTTAAAGATTTATTTATTTATTTATACAAGCACCTTGGTACAGTCAGAAGCGCGGGAGGGTGAGAGAATTCACCAGAGCCAGAGTGGGGAGCAGAGCAGGCAGAAGGACTGAAGCACACTGCTGAGGGGAGCAGCGGGCGGCAGGAGAGAACTGCGCGCCATGTGGGACCCTCCTCCTGTGGCCGGGGAGCAGCCAGGGATGGAACCAGCGCTGCAGAGGCTGCAAGCAGCTTCGCAACCCAGCGCTCAACCGCTGCGCCACCGGGGAGGCCCTTATTAAGTATATTTTTTTAAAAATTAGGAATAAATACTGAATTTTATCAAATGCTTCTCTGGTGACTTTAGAGATTATTCTGTTTTTTTTTTTTTCACCTATTAATATATAAATTATGCTAGTAGACTTAGATAATTTTGTTTTGTTTACTACTGTTTTCCCAACACAGTGCTATACATATGGCAGATCCTCAATAAAATACTCATCGACTAAATTAACTGTTATACTCAATATACAAATATTTTTACTTAAGATTTTTTTATGCTAATTACTAATAAGATCTCTCATTTCCTTTTTTAGTCTTGTTTTAGGAAGGTTTTGGTATCCATGTTATGCTATGCAAGTCTCTCATCTTTCTCGATACAATTGAATAATTAAACAAACATTGAAATTACCCGTTTTTGATCATTTGTTCACCTATAGAATTACCTATTCCTTGTCCTTTTGGGAACACTGCCCCTTGAGAATTTTCTTATCTCTTTCTTAGGTAAAGTTTGTTAAATTATATTCTTCTAGAATATACTCAAATTTTCAAATTTATTTACATAAAAGTTTTAGGACTCTTTTAATTTCCTCTGCACTAGTGATCTTTATTTACCCCTTCTTTTCATTTTTCACATTGGGATACTTTAAGTTGATTTTAAATTTTCTGGACAGGCATTACATCTAGCAAACGTACCAACACATACAAGGTAATTAGGAAACAGGTTAGGGATGATATAAACATAAAAAGAACTTTAAGAATTTTTGTGTGTTTTTGGAAACAAGGAGAGAAAAAAGGCACTGTAGGCCAGTGGTAGCAGGTCTTATTCAGTATGCTGATTTCCCACTCTGATGTATGATAAACACAAAATATGTCCTGTAGATTGACCTCAGTGCAGTTCAAACTGAGTGATTTGAATTAAATAGATTAAGGACTTGCAAAAAGTTTAGAATTATAATAGTTAATTCTGAGTCACAGCAATGACATGGAGACATTAGTAGGTATACTCTTGGAAAAGCAAAAAATCAAAATTACCAATAATATCCACCAAATGAAAAATCTTTCATTTCACTCTTGCTATCTTATGGGGGTTCATAAGATCTTCCAAAGTAGGCACATTGGGGAACACTTCAATCTTGCTACGTTAAGTATTCTCCTTCTGCAGGGAATGGTGTAGAACATCAGTATATAAATAATTGCTGCTTGAAATGGAAAAATAAAATAAAAAAGGGTGCGAAAAAGAGAAAATTGTCCAAAGTAGCATTCCACCCCCTCACAGCTGTAAATTACTCATCAGTCGTTAATGTCACTGTACTGAGCTGGAGCTGAGTCAGCCACCACCCTGGCTGCAGTGAAGCAGAATTTAATATCCCTCATCTTTTCATTACAAGGCTTTTACTTCATGCATCAGTACCAGAGGAAAGACCAATGTTTTGTAGCAGGAATTCCATCCAACTTGACTCTGGAACAATTTGGTCCAAGTGATTCAATTACTCTCAGTAAAAACAAGCAGAGGAATCCCTTCCTTGCCAATTTTCTGTCAAAAATGATCTAGAGAAATAATGGAAGAATAGGAATGTTTACTTTTATATCTGCCTCATATTCTCTGGAATTTAGTTACTCTGATTCATTAATACATGCTTCGCTCCTAAATTCAGCACCATGTTTAAAGACAAACGCTTAAAATAGAACAAATGGAATGAAATATTAAAATTCCTTAACAATTTTGAGAAGTAATCCCCCCTAAATTTTACAATATCTGTATTTCTTTAGAAATTGTCAGATATACTCACTACATTGTGAAAGCCTCATAATTTTGCCTAGAAAAAAGAAGTACGGTAATCCATGCAATTAAGTTATATTACATAATTGCCATAAGGAACTCTAGTTATTTAGTGGTAGAGATATAATAATGAGAAGTTTTGTTACAAATGATTTCTTGAATTTTTACTTCTAATTTTTTCCTTGGATTCCTTAAGCTAAAATTTTTAAATAAGTTTTGCTAAAACTTCTTCCACTCATCTTTTCTATTGTATCTTCACATTTCTTACTTTAGTCTTTCCATTTACCTAGGTATTATGTATGATAATGTCCTCTTATGATAGTCCCCAGCTCTAATTACCTTCACATATTTTCAAATTTTACATTTTTTTCTTCTCCCCCTCCTTTTATTGATTAGTTTGGGAAAAAAAGTTTTGCATTCTTTTTCCTTGCTACCACTATAAAATCAACCAATGGATAAATGTATGTTGCAAACATTTTGTACAAATCACTACACAAGGAGATTGTAATATTTTAAAAGAAATAACGCAGAAAGGTGACTCACCCACTGTCCCTTCTGTGCCATCCGTTTCCTTTGGGATATAATGTGCAGATAGATCACTCTGAAGGACTTCATCTGATGTGGCTCTGGCTAAAGCAGCAGCCAAAAAGGAAGGGCAATTACTGAAAGAGAAAAAATAAAAAGGCTGTTTTTAGCAAGATTTAGGAAACAATGCATTTAACATTATTAATAATTACTTATAATTATTAACATTTTCTCAAATAATATTATACCTTTAAACAATATCAGCATATATTTATTAAGTGCATGTTATCTGCTAGGTACTCTGCGTATATTGGTGAAAAACACAGACATGGCCCCTAACTTAGTGAGGTTTACAATCTAGTCAGGGAGACAGATGATAAATACAACAAATAGGGTATCATTTAAAATTAGGCTGAAGTTTTTTAAAGGAAACAAGCAAAATACGAGAGGAGGCTATCTACTTGTAATGATCAGGAGTGCCATTCCTTGAAGGATGAGAAAGATTCAATTTTGTGGGGGTGAGGTAGTTGGAAGAAAATACTTCGAGCAGAGAAAATAGTATGTGTAGAGATCCTTTCCAAGAGCTTGGCATGTTCAGGGAACTGAAAGAAGCCCAGAAGAGAGGAAGTATAGTGGGTGAGGGAAAAGTTGCAAGGAATAAGGTCAGATGCACTGGCAAAGACTGATTATATGGATTTTTGAGACCATGGTAAGGAATTCAGACTTTCCTCAGAAGTGTAGTGGGAAGTCATTAAAGATTGTGAACAAGAGAGCGCTATAACTGGAGACACTAATTCAAATACCACTTTGCTGTGTCAAGGGAAACTGAAAGGGGCAAGAATAAAAGAGGGTGACCAATAAGAAAGATTGGGATCTAGGCCAGAGGTGGGGCGACAGGTGAAAGGATTCCCCAGAGACAGAGTGAGGAACAGAACAGGCAGATCTACTAAATACACTGCTGAGGGGAGCAGTGGGCGAGTCAGGAGAGGTCTGCTGCTCCATGTGGTTTAGCTCCCTGGCCAGGGATCGAACTCATGCTGCAGTGGCTGCTGACAGCTTCATAGTGCTGAGACTTAACCCCCCCTGAGCCACGAGGGAGGCCCCAAGAATTTTTATTTCTAACAAATTCCCAGATAATATCCATTTACTGGTCTGCATACCACAGTTTGAGCACCATTTGGATTAGGTAAAAACTGGGTGATGAGGGTAAAAAGCATATGGGCGGGGGAGGAAGGAAGAAAAGAAATTATTGTAGATATGAAACAGTCATATTCACCAATAGTAGCACTGTCCGATAGTGCTAAGAGATGACTAGAAGGTTGGGCCAATTTTTAAATGATACCAGTCTTTCTGGTTGTGACTTTCTTCACCATTTATATTCACGTGCTGGAACATGTGTAGGTATAAAAAGAGTTGTCTAGTTTATCAGGATTTGGGGTTTTGCTAGGTGAGTACTATAAAGTGAAGAAGAGATGGGGAATTAAGCATCTGTTTTTAAGAATGTGATTACAGTGTTGGACCAAGGACTCTAAGTTAGCTAAGAAAAAAAAGAACAGACATGAAATGCAAATAAATGTAGTGTAAATTTAATGAAAGAATTGTGGTGGGAGTACTTGGGCACATAACCTAGAAGGACAGAATGTTGTAGTCTGAGAGCAGGATACTTGTATATACAGTTTTGGAGTTGGTACAGTTTTTTGTGATAACAAGGTTTAGGTGAGAAAGCAAGTGTTTTACAATCAGATAAAATGGTAATGTTTACATTCTAAATACCCAAGGAAAAAAACTTAATGTTCTATATCATTCATCAGATTTTTTTCGATTATAAGTTATGATTCATTCATGGGTAATGAAATCAATTTATGAATTGTGACCAGCATTTTTTAAGAAAGGAAATAGATAGGGTAAATGAATTAAGGCTAGGAATTCCAGGTGTGTGTGTGTGTGTGTGTGTGTGTGTGTGTGTGTGTGTGTGTGTGTGTATATACTGAATTCAGATTATGATGAAAAATATTTTGAAAGTCACTGACCTTTAGCGATTAAGAGATTAATTAATAACATCTCTTGAAATTCAAATGCTTTCAAGTATCACCATATCATCTTTCTTAGGATTGAACTCTTAGGTTAATTGACTCTTGATGAGTCAAAATTTTTCTTCATAGACCTAAACTCTGTCGATATTGCTTGTTTATCTTTTGCCTAAGTAGACTTTTAGTATATACTTTTAATACCTACTTGATCCTTTTACTTGTTTCTAAATTTATATTTTAAAAATCACCTGAAAACCTTTATTGTAATCTTGTGCCCCAGTATTTTTTTTTAAAGGGTATCTTTTGCATAATTTATTAAACTATCTGGACCTAGGTTCACCAAAGGTAGAGAAATAAGGCAAAAACCCTTAGTCTCATTAATGTGTCATCTGTAATACATTTTTAGTCACAGTTAATGTAATTTTTTACTTTTTGTCAGACAGAATGAAAATATTTTCAGTGAAGTAGGGAGGAGGATTAGCTGACTAATAGCTAGATATAAAACATCAAGCTAGACACTTCACCCACATCAGCTATTTCTACATGTCAGAAAGCTGTAACACTTAGCATGAATAAGTGCTTATGATTTTGACTCTGAAGTGAAAGTGATTATTTTTGAAAAATCAGAATTGCAAATATATATATATATATTTTAAATGATTTATTTATTTATTTATTTATTTATACAAGCACTGGGTACAATCAGAAGCGCGGGAGGGTGAGAGAATTCACCAGAGCCAGAGCGGGGAGCAGAGCAGGCAGAAGGACCCAAGTACACTGCTGAGGGGAGCAGCGGGCGGCAGGAGAGGTCTGCGCGCCATGTGGGACCCTCCTCCGGTGGCCGGGGAGCAGCCGGGGATTGAACCGGCGCTGCAGAGGCTGCGGGCAGCTTCGCAACCCAGCGCTCAACCACTGCGCCAGCGGAGAGGCCCTGCAAATATATTTTAAAATACAGTTACATGAGAAGTATTTGATACGACTCAAGTAAAAGCATATCATTAAAATTTGTCACTTTAAAGAGAATTACCAAGAGTAATGACAATAACAAAGCAAATGGATTTCTTTCACAATTTCTCATACAATGCTTAAAAGATCCCTATTTAGAAGGTTTTAAAGTTTGGCAAATGTATTAATAGCAAATATCTGAGGAGGGTCAATACTCAATGGCAGTTAAGAGAACTGGAGTTTTATTTTTTCTTTAATTTTTTTTTATTTTAACATTTATCAATTTTTTTTACATTTTTTTAGACTATATTTGCTTCCCCCCACCCTCTCAGATTGAGTCCCCACAGAATTTCCTTCCCCAAGGCACCAGCGCACCATCGCCACATTCTCCTGTGCTCCTCCCTCCCTGCCTCTCACCCCTCCCCCTCCTCCTCCCCTGCAGGATGTCTCTTTACAATTCTCTGTTTTTGCTTTGTTGTGGTTTGTACTGTAATTGTTATTTTTTTTACACTGATGTCCTATTTGGAGAACTGGAGTTTTTAATGAGAACTGGGGTTATACTTTGAGAACATTGCTGGAGTAAAGCATGATTAAAAATTTTTAACTGTTGTATGTGTCATTCGGGGGGAATTAACTCTTTTATAGTCAAATTAATCTCGTTAGACCCCTCAAATACCGTCCAAGAACAATTCTTTGCTATTTATATAAACCGATATTTCTGAAGTGCTTCCTATTACTATTTCAAGCAATTCAGTCCTGAGAACAAAAGGAAATGTGTTTTCACGCATACCAAAGTAGAGTTTATATATTCATAGATCCTTGTCTAGTTTATAAGTTATATATGTTACATGCATAGATGTTACATATATGTTATATATGTTATATGTTATATATGTTACATGCATAAAACCTTTTGAAGCATTAATTAGGAGTCAACTTTAGTTGCATGAAAAACATACTTCATTAAAGCTATTTATCTTAATGAATACAATGCACATTTGAATTTCTGTGTATACTGACTTTCTCAATGTTATATATTGGAAAGCAGAAATGCAGGTTCTATTAAGCTTTGTAAATAACACTATAAGCAAAGCATGGGTTCTTGCTTTTAGCTAATATGTATTCTTCAGACACACAAAAATCATGCAAAACTCACGTCCATGAATGAATCTATTCTTCCCTACTTGTTCTCAGGGAAGCTCACATTGGCTAGTGTCATCAAAGTATTTATGGGGGGCAGGGATGTCAATCTTGACTCTTCAAGATTAACCACAGCCCAAAACATGTTTTGTGGAAGATTTTGAGTTATAAAAATACAAATGCATTTTAATGACCTTTAATAGTTCAGGATTTATCAACATTTACACAAATTATTTTATCTTAAATCAGTCTTTTCCCAAGTTAGATATTTAAAAGACTGTACCATAGTATGTGGGAGCAGTTTTTAAAGATGAGGTAGAAGTTAAATTCCTGTTACAGCTGAATGTTTTTGTCCCCCTAAAATTCGTATGTTGAAATTCTAACCCCCAATGTGCTGATATTTGGAGTTGGTTCTTTTGGACGTCACTAGGTAGATCATTGGGAGGTCATTCCTGAGGGTGGAGGCTTTATGAACAGAATTAGTGCTCTTGAAAAAGGAGAGAGACCTCTCTTAGCCCCTTACACTGTGTGAGGACACAAAGAGAAGATAATCAGAAAACAGGTTCTCACTATACACCAAGTCTGCAAGTGCTTTGATTTTGGACTTCCCAACCTCTAGAACTCTGAGAAATAAATTTCTGTTGTTTACAAGCCATCTAGTCTATAGTAATATTTGTTATTTGTGAAAGCAGTCTGAATAGAGTAAGTCAATTATTATTGGAACTACCCAAATTATTATCATAGTTAGTGGATCAGCACAGAAAAGCAAAATTTTAATACTGGTTATGTTCATTTCTTGTGCCCTAGATAAACAGTGATTTCTTTAGATTTCATAATAAGGCCAAGTTATAGGAGAATCCTTAACATTGCTTTCACCTATAATGCTTGCAGGAATTATAAATGGGACTTTGTTACTTACAGAAAACAAAGACTATTTTATATTTATATATACACACAGAGAGACACAGATATCTCAGGAATTCAGAAATTATTGTAGCTTGAAATTTAAACATTTAAACATT